TATCAAAATGTGAATTCATGTGTAAACTTCACACGTTCAGAACTTTTGATTTGAGGTCCGACTCAGTGAGTCAGATCTTTTTAAAAGATAAATTAAAATATTATTTCAAACAAAGATTAAAATACTATCAAGAAATGAAAATCCAATCGATAACGCGAACAAGTACACAATTTGAATGCATTGATCAATTAATCATGATATTCAAATAAAATCAGATATCCCTCCATCCATCAATCTGTATTTTCAATTTCCGATCAGAGAAAAACAAAACTGGAAAATCGGATGAGAAACTTTTGCAGTTGTTTTATGATTTATCTAACCTTAACGATCACACGCTTCACGTTTTTCATGAAAGCTCGCTCGAACTCCATGCCGTTCTCGGTGAAAGGACTCGTCCACATTTTCTCGAGAAAAATCAATTCACCGGTTTTCAAATGCGGATCTCTTTTTCTTTTGTGAGTTTGATTTTGAGGAGACTCGAAGACGATGGTGTGTTTGTTTTCAAAAATCAGGTCGATTAGATCTGGATATTTATACTCTCCAATCATTAGGGGAAGGAAACATCGTGGTCGAGTGAACGCTCGCCACGCACCCTAATCATAAAAGCCTCCAATCGTATACGACAAAACATTATTGCCAGCAAATTCAACGATCCACTTTTAAAATACAGCCTGAAAGACGTGAGAAATTGGAATCTCACGGCTCTCTTGGTTTGGAGGCTTTGTTCTTCTACTTTGCAGTGTGCAAATACACGCCACCATTATTCACAATACGACCCTTCCAAAGCAGAAACCATGCAATCGCAAACAAGTTCCGCCTGGGAACAAATCCCAGGTTTCTGCAGCAGAAAACATTCTCACCCTTCCCTGCCTAAAAGGGTAAACTATACCTATGACCACTTACCTATGGTCCTATTTCATTTTGCCCATTGATCTTTTAGTTTTGTTAATTAGATCACTTAATTTAACTATCTAAGTGTTTTCAATTAAACCACCAACCATTAACATTTATATATTCGTATAATTACATATTTAATCTTCAATATTTATATATTCTATCAATTTAATCTTAATTTTGATTCAAATTAATCTCTAATTGGAGATTAAATTTATATAATTCAAATAAAATTATGACTATATTGAGGACTAAGTGTTGAAATATACCAATTTTTTAACATTCACCTCATTATATGCTTACGAAAGCGTTTATTTTTTAAAAAAAAAGTCACGGAGGGGATGACTCGACATGAACTTTCATTATAAAATTGCATTGAATAATGAAAAGGGACAATCTTGGCATTTGTGTTTGTCGAATGGCAACTCTTTGGGTCTTTCGAGCTAATCATTGACCTCCCTTGTGTAACCTTTTGTATTTAATATTTGATTGAAGGTGTTTGATTCCGGTACGGTGTTGATTCCCGGCTGCTCGAAGAGTATTGGATTTGGATTGTATATTAAATTTAATCTTTGGGACTAAGTGAATTTGTAGGGGTTGGGGTTGGTTGATCGGTTAGGTTGCTATTTAGGTCAAGGGTATTGGATTTGGATTGTATATTAAATTTGAGTTCAATATTGGATTTAAGTTTTAACTACATATATTTTTTGTTTTATTTTGATTCGGGCTTGATGAATAAATTTTTAATTCCAAATAAAAATAAAGTTTATAATAAACATTTTTAGTTATCTCTTGTGCATAAATAAATTCAGGGCAAACATAAAAACTTTTAAGGTATGCACAAATTAATTTTAAGGTGGACACATATATAAAATTAAATGCTTAATCAACTAATTTTAAATTTCAAGATAGATAGATGTCCACCCTGAAAAGCATACAGCTCCGCCACTGCCTCCACCATCACTATTACAAGTTACAACCTCCTCCACCATCTCTTCTATCACCACTACCTCCTCCACCACCACCACAACATTGACTAAGGCAAGCTAAAATAAGCATTATACAAAAGAATACAGAGAAAAGGATAAGCGGAAGTCCCCAAGGTTCCATATCCTTTTCTTAATTAGATTAATTTTAAAACATAATGTGTTGCTGATGAACAAGTTGAATATCCATAATCTCCTTTTATAGTTGTAGGGTCAAAGTCAAACTCTGTCCTAAATGTAAGTTCGAAGTCTATACCGGTCCGAGTTTGTGAGGGAAAATGGAGGATTCAGAGTGAGAGACGGTGCTTCGACTAGAAGGAACACTGATAAATGCTCAATAACCTTGGCAAGTTCCTCAGCATGCTCAACTTCCTGGAGAAATTCCCTCTCTGTCTCCGAGGATATATCCTCTGGGATGACAATATCCTTGTATTCTTCCCTATCAGATGTTCCATGTTGCTTGCTGTCACTCAATCTGCTTGTCTCTTGGCTTGGACTTCCTTCGGTAGCTGATGCAGCCGGGGTGTGGGAAATATGCAGTGCTTGCTTCCAAATTGCAAGAATCACAAGCTGGATTGAGAATGCTTCAAGTTGCCTTCCGGCCTTAATCTATCAACAAACCACGAGAATGTATTTTACAAAATAACCTCTCTAAACCCTTTAATGACGACCGGCGGTGATGGTCGGTGGTGACGGTAGTGGGGCTGAGAATTAAGGTTCTAAGGAGTTTGATTTATTTTTGATATTTCTACAAAAATGGGTTTTTTATGATATTTTTAAATTCTTTTTTTTGAAGAATACTTTTTAAAAAATATATATAAACGTGTCGAACTTTTTAATGAAACTTACGGAGGCAATTTAAATGATAACGTTCGTAACGTTAAGTAACTATATTAATAAAAAAAAATGAAGAACTGATCTAATTTTTTTTTTATATTAAGTCTAAAATATATATATATATATATATATATATATATAATATGTAGTTTCTATATATATATATATATATATATAATAGTCGTTTTACTTTAGTAGTCTTTTAGGCCACCTGCTAAGATAATAACTTACTATAGTTGAAGTTTTGGTTGCTATAATAAGGATAGTAAGAAACTGAGTTACTTGTAAGATGGTTGAGAACAGAAAGGAAAAGACATGTGGTTAATAAAATAAATATGTAATGATAATATTGAATACATTTTTTTTAAATAAATAGGTTGATTCTATTAACTATAAGGGTATGTTTGGTTAGGGGAATGTAAGATTCCCATGGGAATGAAATCCACATTCTCCCGTTTGGTTGGTCGGGAATGTCATTCCCGGTAATCTTATATTACTAATAGTGGATTTTTTTGGGTATATTACCGGGAATGTCATTATTTCCCTTTCCTTAGGTATTGTTGGATTATCGGCGTTTTGGATTAAAATGTACTTAAAAAAATTCTTTAAAAAATATCCTTATTCTGTCATTGAATAATAAAAATTTTACGAAGGTTAAATTATAAATTTATCCTTAAACTATTTTAGATTTACAAAAAAAAAGTCTATAATTAAAATTTTATATGAAGTTCAGGGGTTAAAATAAAATTTTACTCTTTCATTAAACATTTTTATATTTTCAATTTTGTAAAAAATATAAATTTTATGAATTAATTTTTTTAAAGAAAATATATAAATATTTTCAACTTGTTGAAAAAACAAATATATAATAAGGATAATTTAGTCAAATATACATTTCAATAATATTTTATTCCTTTAACACGGTAATCTTACACTCCTGATAACCCAACCAAACACAAAATACAACATTCCCAGTAATCATATTCTCTGATAATCTTTTATTCTCACTTATAAACTTACGTTCTGTCCGTGAACCAAACGCACCATAAAATACTTTACATTATGAGTTAGCTCTCTCAAATAAGGAGACATCATAAGTCTCTAAAAAGAGTAACAGCAAGTACGAGTGGATCTTCCGAGAAGATACGACTTGAGTCTAGGGTTGGTAATTTAGCCTGAAACATACAGTTTGGATCCAACCCGATATAATACGGTTGGATTTTGTTTCTTCTAAATTTTGGGTCTGGATCGGATTGGAACATATTTTTTAAGGGATGAGATTGTGTCAGGTCAGATTCAGGTAGAGGGTAAAAAAAACTCTAATTCAACTCGACTCGAGATAATAATATAATTTCTTTAAAAAATTATTACTTTTTAATTAAGTTCTTATTTTATACCGAGTCGGGTTGAGTCGGATTTATATTCTAAAATTTTGTATCGGGCCGAAGTTAGGTGAAATATATATATTTTTCAGGTATGGAATATATATAATTTTCGGATTGAATTTGGTTCGGGTGGATGATACATAATTTTGAGTCAGGTTGGGTTGATTAAAAAATCGATTCTAACTCGATCCGTTGCCATCGGAGTTGGCTAGAAGTTTGGTAAGAGAATCGGCGGTCAAATTCTCCTCTTGTTTGATAAGAACAAGTTTACAATATAAATTTCGAGTAAATCCGAGCAGTGGCGGAACAAACGAAAAGGAATACGAGTGTGTTGAAGGAGACCTAATCAGTCTGTAAGCTTCTACGCTATCAAATTGGCATTGAAGACGCTTAAAACCATAGGATTAGGCGAGGTTGAGACCTTCGGAATATTCATCAGATTTCAGCCTTGAGGATGGTAGATATTTATTAAAATCAAACATTCAGTCTCCCTTATGGCTCTGAACAAGACCACTTGTCAATCCTATAAAGAAAATGCGATTAATAGATTCATCGGTATTGAGAGTGACCCAATATGATGTAGTTAGTTTCCATTGAATAAACTCAGTGGCTTTTGTTTGCACGTAAAATCAAGTTTAACCAGACTACACCCTTAACAGAAGAGCAGCAATAAGAGACTTTTGTAATTGTTTTTATATTTTTATTAAAGGCTGATCAGCAAAGTTGTCTGGGTGGTGTAGTTGGTTATCACGCTAGTCTCACACACTAGAGGTCTCCGGTTCGAACCCGGGCTCAGACAATGTATTTTTTCCCTGTTCTTTTTGCATTTGTCGCTGAAACGAAATACAACACTTCTTTAATTCCTTAGCACTTGAGCATTTTTAATTTTTAATTTTTAATGTGCCTTGTTCTGTTCATAGCAAAAAAACTCTCCAAAGAAACGCTTCCAATTCCCAAACAATCTGTTAGCTTCCTCAGCTCTTCTTCCTCGAAAAAACTTCCTTTCTCCCCTAATTTCTAGGGTTTCGTATAGTGAAAGAGAAGAGTATCGAACATAATCGAATCGAATGGATTGGGGAAACGTGACCGCAGAGGATCTGATTGACGCGCTTCGTGAAGTTGACTGGTCATCGCCGCCACGTCCTCTTCCCGAATTCTTCTCTCGGTTCACCGTCCCTCGATCATACTCCAAATGGAATAGCCGCCTTAAATGCAATCTCTACTAGTAATTCTTTTATATTTTATTGTCTTCTTTTGTTCCAATCAGTTTGAATCTTGATCGGTGCTTTGTTTGTCGAGAAGAGAAAATTAAATAAATTTATTGCGATAAATAAATAAACAAAGACAATTCTTGAAGTCATGATCTTGAATCTGCTTTTGCGAATACTAGATCAAATGCTTCATTTCGTTCAGTTTCTTACTTTAATTTTATGTTTTTCTTTCTTTTTGCAGCTACCGAACCAATTATTTCATTTTGATTGTTTTTATTCTTGGTAAGCAGACAAAATCAACGGTGGCGCTCGAGTTTATTTTCAGTACATGGATTTTTATTTATAGATTTTTCTTTTTTTACTTTTGCAGGTTTGGGATTCCTGAGGAGACCGGTTGCTATTTTAGCTGCGATGTTAACAACGCTTAGCATTGCCTTTCTTAATGATAGGTAGGCAATGTTAGACCTCTTTGTTTAGTGTTCTGGGTTTCAAGTCAGTTATGTTATTTTGAATGTTACCTTTGAAATGGATGAATGAGAACATGTATTGAAGGTTTAGGTATGGTTAGATTTAGTGTCTGACTCATGTCTATTGTCTATAACAATTCGTGTATTATTTTTACAGCTTTGCTGGAACTTTTAGTGAGAAGGTGACTAGAACTGTGAGGCAATTCTCCCCACATTTAGCAGCTAAGATGAGGCCCCCTCTTAGGTAAGTTTTCATTACTTTTGTGTTTGCGGACTATATATCCTTGATTTGGTTATTAACTTTTGCGTTGTTGTCAGACCTGTTATCCGTGGTCATCCGTCAGCTAAAAGAACAATTCACATTTGTGGTCGGCCTCGTTGGGTCTTTGTCTTCATATTCTCATCTGGTATCAATATGTTTCAGAAATGCATCTCTCTTAAGAAATCAGAACCTTTCTGTTCGCAATCCGTCGCAGTATTTAAAGCAACTAATTTTACAATTCTTGTTGCAGTGAGTTTCATCCTTTGGTACGTATCATGTGGTCTCTTGACTGTGCTATGGGCACTTGTCATTGCACTTCTTGGTTAGTGATCTTATCTCTCTCTTTTCCTCATTCCCCCTCCTTAAGATGTCATTTTTTTCCTTCTAACTCTTTCGCTTGCTCTCTCTTTCTCTCTCTCTCTCAGCCACTATCCTTCATGCAAGTTTTAGAACACCTAACCTGAAGGCTCGTCTTAATACATTTCGTGAGGAATTTCGTGCAGTTTGGCGCAATTACAGTGAGCTGTAGATCATGTAGTCTATAGCATGTAAGTTTATCTACATCCAATGTTATCTTTGTTTTACTAATCTAGTTTTTATCAGTTAAATATTTAACGGAATTCACTGTTGATTAAATTCACCTTCTTGTTTTTGGAATATTCTGTATATTTTTTTTATAGGAATAGGAGGTCTCATTAAAAACCTCCCTCATAGTTGACTCTTGATAAGTGGCAACTAATTGAGGGAGGAAAAGAGTACCTCAATTTATTAATAGACTAGAATTAAATAATATACACAATACATTCTAACCCTGAATAACATAAGATAAACATAACACTCTAACCCTCAATAATAAAACATAACATTAATAGAAATAGCGATGGGAAACAAAGACCCCTCAGCCTAACCCATCCTCAGCCTAACAAATATTCTGTATATTCACATGCTATTCTTATGTATTTCATGATTGTGATTTTCTAGTTCACTATAACGGTGTGTGCAGTAGCATGTTGGTATCTTTGATTTGTTTGTTTTCTCTGGTCCACACTCCTGTACTCCACACTTGCACCATGTTTCAAAACCTTCTCCATATGGTGATACTAGTTACTGTGTATCTATAACTGTCCTTTAGTGCTTTATTTCCATCTGATTATGATAAATCTGCAATTGAAATCACATATTTTACTCGGTTTAAATGGTAGTTGATAAAACAACTTGCTTCTCAAACGTGCACGGAATAGGGATATACTCGGATGAGTTATTTTTAGCTTCTACTGATGTTTTTTTAGTCACTTTGGATCAATGCCATTGGGGTTGGACAGGATGATACTTGGCCTAGTAGGTAAAATGAATATGTTTGCATTTGTTACAGTTGGAACACGTTCAATATGTTTTAAAATTTGTAATCAGATTTTTCCATGGATCAAATTTGAAATTTACCACTGGTTTTGCCTGGTCTAGTAAACAATCTTGGGTTTGTGTCGAAAGGTTAATTGACCAAGCAGACGCCTGCTAGTTTAACAACTCTCTTGAACATTTACTTGTAGTAAATCATGGTAGTACTGCTTCAAAATTTTGTTGTCATGGTGCTGGTGTTATATGGGCCCTTGATTTTATTGTATCTGAATTCTGCTACTTTCTCTTGCAACGTATAACATCAACCTTTATCCTTCATCATTGCACATCCCTTTTAGATTTGCCATGTAGTTGCCTCTTGTTATATGAGAAGGTCGTGTTTTATTCATGATTCTCATTATTGTCTGGTTTTTTCAGGCAATGAAGGCTCTGATGATGGGGAACTCGTAGATCTTGTTATTATAAGGTTGCACGGCTGCTGTCAACGTAAAATGTGGTTTCTTCCGCTGGATTGACACGATGGTTGCAATTCTTTGCAATAGCAGACAAGTTGTAAATTGTCAGTACCTCTTTGTTTCTGTAAATCAGACGATTTCTATTGGAAAGACGTTGGAGAATATTTTAACTCAATACTCCCCTTTGAGAAGAAAATGAATTTGTTATCTGAGCTGGTAATGTGTCTCATAGCTGCAGTTGATTCTTAGTTACCTGTTGCTGTTCCTTACGTGTGAATTTGTTGCTAAGATAGTGTAAAACCTCGCGCCTTCAGATTGTGAATGATTTATGGATCCGCCACTGATCAACGTCTCATATAAACTAAAAAAGAAATCGTAAAGAACACCTGAAATAAGAGGGTGAGACTAATTACCAAAGCATTTAATCCTTCACACATTACAATATAAAGGATTAGTCAAAATAGAAGATAGGAAATGAGTTGGGTTGAAAATAAATGAATTACTTGTCATAGAATATTATTCTCGTCAAACTTAAACCTAACTAAAATAACAAAACAAGACTTATGTCCTCTTTTCACCTGAGTTAAGGTTAAGTGAAGACAGTGTGATGGGTTTGATTCGGGGATTTTTCTCTAATTCATGTATGATAGTCATATAACTGCAATGTCAAGAAAATAAAATGTTAAAAATGTAATAGTAGAATCGATGTATTTTTAAAATTAATGTCTAAAATAACATTTTATGTATCAAAACAATTGCACCAAAACAATGTTGTTTTAGTGTGATATGTCACATCAATAATATTAGTTGTTATCGTTTTGTTACTGATTTAACGACATAATGGCATAATTAAATATAAAATTAAGTTCAGTGTTATAATTGATAAAATTTAAAATTTAGTAGTATAAATGAGTCAACATCAAAAATTTAGGGTGCATTTATTTCAAAGAAAACAAATTTCGGAAAATGATTTCTGTAAAATGAATTACATTCCCTAAAAAATAAATTCTGAAAATCATTTTATAGTATTTAGATGATATTATGTAAATCATTTTTCACTAATTGAGTCTTGCCCGTCTAGCTCAGTTGGTAGAGCACAAGGCTCTTAACCTTGTGGTCGTGGGATCGAGTCCCACTGTGATAATTTTTTAAAAGATCATTTATTATAAATATCGAATACAATAAATAATATTGTTAATTTGAAAATAATTAAAATTACTATTATTAAATAATCAAATATTTTTTAATATTCTTTATGTAAATATTATTATTAAAATATTATTTTTATAATTTTATAGAATAAAAATATTAAGACCATTATATTTTATTACAATGAATATTTTTTATAAATTATATTAATTATTTATTATAATAAAAATGTTTTATTGTTAATTATATTAATTACCTGTTAAAATAAAATTATTATTATAATATTAAAACCATACTATTAAATAATATTTTGAAAACTGTTAATAAATATATTGTAAATATTTAATATTTTAATAATATTATTTTGTAAAATTAATAAATAAAATAAATTTTATCACTAATTTATTATCTATTATTAAAATTATAATATAGTATATTATTATAATATAATTTAATATATTATTATAATATTAAAATATATTATATTATTAAAATTATTAATAAATATGTTTTAATAATTAATATTTTTATTAAAATATAATAAAATAGTATATTAATACTAAATATATAAAATTAAATTATTTTAACTATTTTTATTTTGAATGAAAAGTTTGCAAAATAATCTATAGAAAATAAAACTGTAAAATGAGTAAATGGATTACATTGAATTTCTGTTTTTCACCGATCAAACACTAGAAAATAAAAAAATATTTTTTGAAAAAACAAACTACATTAAAACAAACAGACCCTTAATGATATATGATACAATTTACCTTAATATTTTATATAATCTATAAATTATATAAATTTTTATATTAAAAGATAGGTAAAAGAGTACATGAGGATCTTGTACTTGTCCAAAAAATCAAGCCCTTGAGCCAATGGTTTCCGTCATTAACCGTTACGATGCTAATGTGGTACTTCACGATACTAATGTGGCGATACATGATACTGACGTGGTAGTCTACAATGATTGGTGACATGGTTGATGACGTGACAGATGGACCTAATTGTTTTTTAAGTTCAAAGGCCAAATTGATTTTTTAAAAAGTTTAATGACTTTTTTAACTATTCAAAAACTTAAATATAATTATACCAAAAATAAAAATTAAATTATTCAAAAATTTAAAATATATATTATTACTTTTTTTACCTCGAATTTAACTTAACTTTTATTTATATAAATCTAAATTTGTTATTCATGCACAAATTTTATTTTATATATTTATATCTAATTATATTAAATTCTAAGTGTATTTTTAAATTCTATTTCACTAAATTTTTATAAAAATGAATTAAATAAATATTATAAATTCTTATAAATAATAAAATTTAAAAATTATGGAATTAATTTTTTTTTTTATAAATTATCATAAACCTATATAATTAAAAAAATAAAACATAGTTATCTAATTAAGAGGAACAATTTTAGTGAATTTAACATGATGCAAAGTAAACTTCACCTAAACACGATCTTATGAAGAAGTGAGAATATCGATTTATTCCACCAATTTTTATTAGATACAACTATATAAAGTTAAGGTAGATATGAACTTCATGTGTTCGAGGTTTTTTTTGTCACTCAATATTTACTTTTTAAAAAAAACTCAAGAAATAGCAAATACATCTCAACAAAATAAAAATAAAATAAAATTCACATTAAAACTTAGAGGCGAATTCTAATGAGTTCTATTTTTTAAAAAACAAATTAATATATATTTTTTAATTTTTTTAGTAATTTAATTTTTATTTTTGATATTATTATATTTAAGTTTTTGAATATTTTTATATTTTGAATTTAAAATATTTTTTGTTTTTAAAAAATCAAATAAGCCCTTAATTTAAAAAAAAATCAATTTGGCCGTCAAACTTAAAAAAACAATTTAGCTCATCTTCCACGTCACTAGTCACTGTGGATTGTCATGTCAGCATTGTGGATTGTCACATCAGCACTGTGGAGTGTCACGTTAATATTGTAATAGTCAACGACGAAAACCGTTGGTCAAAGAGTCATGTTGAGTTCTTTTTATAAATTAGAATGTGACATTTAGTGCAAAAAATGTCGAGGATCACATTGGTTTTTTTGGACAAGTACAGGGGCCTCATGTATATTTTGCCTAAAAGTTATTACACTATTAGATGATTTTTTACTTGTGAATAAGGATGGCAAATAGGCGGGACAGGTGTTGATACCCCTTCCATAATATCCATACCACCTAATATTTACATTTCCATCACTTACCTACCACCTACGACAAGAAATTTTTTTAAATTCACATTCGTCGACGCAGATACAATCTCAAATCCACCCTCACACCCAATACTCAATTGGATATCCACCACCCATCCCATACCCGCCTCTATCTGCCCATATCCGCCTGACAGCAATCTCAAAATTTATATAAGCAACAAAACATATAACAAACACGTCCATTAAGTGTCCGTTTAATATAACTTTTAAAAAGTGACTTTTAAAAGTACTTTAGAAATGAATTTTTAAAAGTGTTATACAACAGTACAATTTAAAATTTAATTGTTTATATTGTTATTAAAAAGTAAATTTGAAAAGATAAAATGTCCATTATAAACATTATATTGTAAAATTTAATTGTTTAAATTGTTGTTAAAAAGTAAATTTGAAAAGATAAATGTTCATTATAAACATTATATTGTCATTTGCTATTCACAGTGGGTATACCCATAACTTATCTGCTATTCACGGTGGGTATGTTTTTTTTACATCTACATCTGTATACTACTCACTTATACCCATCACCGACCGAATCGAAATAGATACAATACGAAATTATAGTCAAGCTAAAACTTTACAATAGATTAGATGGTTTTGGATTGGCATTTCCTGGTTACACATGGAAAAGGAAAAGAATTGAACGTGAGACTTTAACTCAAATGATGGAAACAATTAAAAGCAAAAAAGATGACCCATTGATGCTGCTGCCTTGAACCCTACCAGCATTCCAGATCCACTCTTGGTACGTCGGTCCAATTCACTTTCTTTCCTCCCTTTAACCATTATTTGTCACAATAAAACATGATTAGATGCCTAACCTAACTCCTGGATTTGCTAATCTGTTTCCCTAATATCATCTTCCACCTCAAAAAGAAAGAACAAGAAGAAGCTGCTTTTGAAGCACAAGCATCAACCCAACAACAATTAGGTACGGATCATGATTTCAGGTTAAGAAACGAATTTAATTTTTTTAAATAATTTATAAAATTTTAAAAGAATAAAAATATATTTTTAATTAAAAATATTAAAATATAAATAATAAAAAAACGACCGTTCCACCCGCTCCACCGTCGGCCATTACTGCCAACATCAATGTTTTTGCAAAAGAAAATTGCATTGCTTCACAGCTTTCATCAATCTGGACAGTGCATCACACTTTACCCTTTTTCTGTACATTTAAGTAGTACATAATTTTTTTAAATAATTATTCGATATCTGATTTATTTCGATTAATCTGAATTTGCCTATCATGTAAATTATAAATTTTACACAAGAATTTGATAGACTATGCCGGTGGACAGTTGAAGAAAACATGGAACTTCTCAATTTGATGTAAAAGATGGCAACCAGCTTGCATTCTGGTAATAAATATTGGCTTTCATCTACTTACTATAATGTACTATCCGATTAAATAATGACCATAAACCTTTCTTCTCCGAATCATTTTTTTTCAACCGACGAAATCATGCAAAAGCTGCCCTCCGATGACATCCCTTCCGAAATGCCGATTCTGTGCTTCATAACCGCCGATGACATACCCCTCACTGCTTAGGCCAAGGCCGAAACACTGGGCTGCATTCATGGGAAACTGCTCGGATAAGCCGATTCCGTTGTTTTGATGAAGACCAAGTGTTAAGGACACCCCATTGCTCCCACCTGCCATGCCAACATGTGGTTGGGTTGACATGCTGTGGTACGATGATAAGTTGAGTGGTTCGCTTCCGAGTGGTATATCGGCGAGTGGTTCATTTCGGGTGCGTTTCAATGGCGTACCCTGAGCCCTTTGAATGGAGGTTGATG